CGGGCTTGGCTGGGGCGACCTGGTGCCTTCGCTCTTGGACCGGACCTCGGCGTGGGAGGACAGGGCGGCAGACACACGTTCCTTGGAAACCTGTGGTTTTTCTGCCCGCCTCGCCTCAGCCTTTTTGAAGATAAGGGGTTATTCCTTCCTAAATTCAAGGCTCGCTGAGCGCCTACTCCGTGGCGCAATGCTGGGGATCCAGCGGTGGTCACGCCAGACCGCTCCCTGCGTCACCAGACAGGAACAGCCAGACTGGTGATGGCGGAAGCATAGGGCAGAGAGATTAGGTTGTGATGGGGAAAGCCCAGGCCAAGTGAGCAGGGGCTGGGATGGTGGTACACCCATGGCATGACGGGAGCCCACACTAGGTCCCCATCCAGCCTGAGAGCGTATCAGAGAGGGCTTCCTGGGGGAGGTTATAGATGCAAGTAAGAACAACAGCTCTAGGTCCTGTGTCCAGGATTCCCAGTACAAATGTGGAGACAAATACTTCCCCAGAGAGCTTTAGAGAGCTGTCAGGGCTCTGATGGGGAAGTTTGGGCAGAGTAATCAGAGGAGGGCAATGAGAGAGGACACCAGACCCAGTTTGGTAGTCAAGGAGGAGGACTTCCTAGAAGAGGGGATACACAAGCTGCATCTTGAAAGAGGGATGGAGTGAGCAGGCATAGAGGACAACCAACAGGATAATTAAAATAAATACTATTTTTGGACCAGCAGTTGGTGTAATGGCTATGTTGCTGGATTTCCATGTAGTAGTTCGCGGTTTGAGTCCCGGACCCGGTGGCTTAAATTCACGCTGGGTGCATATGCATGCATGCGCTCAAGATCCTGAGAGGAGAATGGAGGAGAAGGGATTGAGGCGTGGCCATCCCCCCTGGGGGTGATTTCTCGCTTTCTGTCTCTGTCTCTCTTTCTGGTGAGCACACGTGCTCTATAGCAAAAACTCAATAAATAAATAAATAAATAAAATGCATTTTTTATTGAAAATTCTTAGCAGTGCTAAAAGTGATTGGTGTGTAGAAAGGACAGTAACAACGGGCCATTTGAACTGGGTAATGGAAGAAGGGATCCATGAGAGGATAGCTTTGATAATGAACTCTGAAGATTAAATGCACATGGACAAATATTCTCTTTTTTTTTTTTTTAATAATTATTTATTTAATTTTATTTAACATCATCATTTTTTTTTTTTTATTTGACCAGAGAAAGGGAGACAGAGGGAAAATGTAAAAGCAAACCACCAGGTCTGGGACTTGAACCACAGTCAACCATGTGGGAGTCCAGCGCCTTAACCACCATACCACCTGCTGGCCCCCCAAGGATAATGAGGGACAACAGGTGCAAAGGTCCTGAGTCTGGAAAGATAGCAGTGTGTTTCAGAAGCCAGGGCCACTCCCACTATTCAGCCTCCCTCTTGGCATAATAAAGAGCTTGAACCAAGTCTCAAGATGGTGTTTACCTTAAACAAAGTTTCAGGCCAGCCATCTTTCTTGCAATGAGGTCCTAGGTCTCAAGGTCCAGCCTGAATGCAGAGTCAACGTTGGCTCCCAGCACTTGAATTGCCCCATCTCTGCCCTGTCCCACCAAGACTGGCTTTAGCGTGAAGGCAGAGGAATGTGATGAGAGGTTGAGGTTCAAGAGAAGCACGGGCCTCTTCACTCACTCATTCCCACAGTCATCATTTCAGCACGTTCATTGCACACTCGCTGTGAGCCAGGTACAGGGGGGTCGTAGGTGCTGGAGAAGGTACAACTGGGACCCAGCCAAAACTGCCCTGGGGAAGCTCACTGTACATTTCAAAGAGCAGTCTGACTAGCAAATTTGACTCAGAGTGAACACTTTTTTTTTTTTTTAATTTTACTGTAGGGCCTCATTTACTCACCAGAGAAAGAGAAGTGAGAAAGCACCCCGGGGATAGCCACGTCACAATCCCGTCTCCATTTCTCTTTTCCAGATTTTGAGCATGCACACACATGTGCCCCACTGCCAGGTGCAGGACTCAAACTACATAGTTGGAGACCCCAACCACCATGCCATTGGCTAGCCTGTGGATACTTTTTTGA